GTCACACATCAAGTATAACCACACAGCATCAGTTTATCACATTAACATTATTATTGTCAATATATATGTACATGCTCATGTTCCTTTTCTCTTCTAGTGATTTTGATTGTCAGTCTTTATTTCTGTTACCAGCACATGTACTTTATAAAACAGTAACACTGTTGATCAGTGGAGCTGCTATTGATAGGGATGAAAATAAAGTAATTTATTCATTATTAATAGTATTAATTATTATTATTAATTAGGAGGGTGGTCTTTATCCACAGTTATATCAGGGGCTACAATTATTAATTAGTTGTTATACTAGAAAAACAACAAACAGAGAAAACACAAGGTAATAACAATAAACAAACAAACAAATAAATAAATAAATAAATATTATTATTAATTCAGTCCCACTAGATGCTGTACTCCTGCTTCCTCCACCTCTACAGTATCAACTGGTATTAGCCACTCCTTAGCCACACCTACTGCTCCACCCCCTACTCAGAGAGGCTCCGCCCAGTACAGGCAGTACAGGTGTCTATTAGCGTCTGAGGTGGTTCATTTAATGTGTCTAGTACCAGCATTCTTCCATCATCTGGACTCTAATAATGGTAACGTGTTACTATAAATAGAGTAATGTGTTACTTTGTGTTACTAAAAATAGAACACAGAACAATAGTAAAATAATATTTTCATGAGCACGTCAAACACTGGTTCACATTTTTGAGAAGCAATCTTCATCAGTTTTGATAAGATTTGGCCAAAGAACAAAGACTATAGCTTACGGTTTTTGGCCTGATTTTGGAGCAACTTTAAAAAATCTAGATTGAATTGAAATCACCTCAAACTTACTATGCAGCATAAATACGTGTACATGTATATGTGATTATTATTATTGTTACTATTAGGTGTACTGGAGATGGTATCAGTGGCTACTAATGACACTAACATTGGTAGTGTCATTAACCACATAGCCTGGAGGATACAGAACAATGGAGTGAGAGAATAGATGTACTGTATAGCAAGTAATTTTGGAGGAGATAAAATTTGGTGAATTGCTAAATTTTGGCGGATTTTAAATTGGTAAATTTGTGGCCATGTGCCATTGAGCATGCGTATAATGGCTCAAAATGGCGGATTTTATTTTGGCGAATGGCTATCAAAATACCAAATTTGCCAAATTTAATCCCCTCCAAAATTACCCGCTATACGGTATCTGTATACCAGTTTTATTGCATTCTTATAATGTTACTATTCAATCTCATGAATTTCATATTGCAATATACAATACAATACAGACTACCTATACTGTACTACTATAATAATGAAATACATGTATATGTATCTGTCATATTATCACCTCCTCCATTACCCCAGGGTGATGTGTGGGATCTTTATCATGAAATAGCCACTTACCTGTTACAAGCTACCACCACTAATGTATTCTCTAAGAGACACCACAACAGGTCATTGACTGTCCATCAGAAACAAACCAGTCACTCATCACCAGTCAAATCAGCTTCTTCTCAAATATTCCAAGTACATTATACATGTATTAATCTATTTAATTAATTATTCATTACCTATTCATTAATTATTCATTAATCACTCATTAATTATTCATAGGTCCCCAGGCGGTCCTCCTCCCCAGTCCCTCCCCCCAGGCGTGTCTCATCAGCAGGTCCATCAGTACCCACTGGGAGGAGACAAAGGACAGCACTTCAACCTGGTATGATGTATAGTGTATATGTAATTTATTTATTTCTTTATTTGTTTGTTTGTTTATTTATTTTTTTATTTATTTATCCATACATTTATTTATTTATTTATTTAGAATTAGGTGATAAAGTCTTATGTGCACCTGAAGTATGTCATTAAATTATTATTATTATTATTATTATTATTATTATTATTATTATTATTATTATTATTATTATTATTATTATTATTATCCTTCAGAGGATGGCTAGGATAGTAGCTCTACCAGAGCCTCATGTTGCTGTCCTTCAGCTCACCGAGGTTAAAGGTATCTCAGGGGGCCCTCCTGACTCATATTTCTACACTGATCCAAGGGGTCTGGTGTGGGACAGTAGATTGGGTCACTGGTCTAAAGATGAACTGGGGTCTGATCTCAGTGTAGGGAGACTACACACTGGTAAGGAATATATATAGGGGATGATACATGTACATGTACTGGTAAGGAATATGGAGCATGTACAATGTATATGTAGATAATCTGTGGAAAGTACATGTATTTGACAGATTTTAAATTTGTTCACGTGTTATTGAATCAATGCTACAGTTGGTTCTTAAAAGATGTACATGTACATCTACAACTTTATGCCTCTTTGGTGTTACTAATAAAAAAGTTGGTATTTTTGAAATGACTTTTATCTATACATTGCAAGTTCTTATGTTCAAACTTATGCTATGTCCTTATATTATTCACCTATTATAAAGCATTTACATGTATGTACATGTGTATGTAGATAATCTGTGGAAAGTACCGTATTTCCTTAAATAGAAGCCGCATTCAAATAAACGCCGGGGTAGCAATACAATTTAAGTGTAAATATGCAACATTACTCCAGGAGTGACTCAGTAGTCTAGTGGATAAGATAATGCCTAAAGTTCCAGAAGTCAAAAGCATGAAGCCACAGGTTCGAATCGCTCTCTGGGCCTAAGCTTTTTTAAATTTTTTATATATTTTTGGAGGTCCAAATATCATTTTAGGAAATAGACGCCCGGGCCTTTATTTAAGGAAATACGGTACATGTATTTGACAAATTTTATTTGTTCACGTGTTATTGAATCAATGCTACAGTTACATATAGTGCAGTTAAAAATGTACATCTTTATGCCTCTTTGATAATTACTAATGAAAATTGATATTTTTTAAAATTATACCATTGCAAGTTCTTGTGCCCAATTTATCCATAAACCTTATGCTATCTTATGTTATTCCCATTTATAGCACTGCTATAAATGTGAATAACATAAGATAGCATAAGGTTTAGCAGTAGCATCATTCACCTTTACTACTGGTTGTTATAATAAAGGAATGTACTATCATAACTTCCTGTAGTCACGAGACTATAAAATATTCCAAGAGGTCATCAGGGCTATCTTTCCCCAGGCTTCTCTTTCATTCCGACTTCTTCATTTTCTTATCGTTTGTTCTTGCTCTATCTTCATTTACCATCTTCTACCTTTATCTCTCTTCATTTTTTGTTCTTGCTTTACATACACAATTTTATTCTTTTCTTGAAATGGCAACCAAACCATCTTCATCTTCTTCTCCTGGTCTCCTCAAACTGGAGGAACAGCTCACCTGTCCTGTGTGTCTTGACCACTATACCAACCCTAAGACTTTACCTTGTCTACATTCATTCTGTGAGCACTGTCTGGAGGGATTAGCTCTGGATAAGAAGAATGAGACCTATTACCTCTCTTGTCCCACTTGTCGTCATTGTACAGAGTTACCAGAAGAAGGAGCAGGAGCCTTTCCTGTAGCATTTCATGTCAACAACCTCAAAGAGATATACGGTCTAATGAAGAAAGTAGCTGATCCTGAACAGGTGACCTGTGACAACTGTACTACAGCTAATGCCACTGGATACTGCAAAGACTGCAGTAAGTTCCTTTGTCAAAAGTGTATGGACATACACAAAGGATGGGCTCCTATTGCTCACCATCAGCTAACAAGTCTTGATGATGTGACAGCCTCTGATGTCTCTTCTACTTCTCAATTGCTAGCTTCAGCTAAACA